AAGCCCTTCAGCAGTGACCTCTGCCAGGGCCCTGCACTGCCTCCAACTCCTCTGGACACCCATGTGTCAGAATTAGCTGGCAAGCTCGTGGGAGGCACTGACCGGGTCTCCTCATTCTGTACTGTGCCAAGCACCTTGGCAAAGCTTGAATAATCGTCCATTTTCTGATCCTCTTACTCAACCCCCCTTTGTTGTCTAAACTCGACTGCTGGGCGCCATGCAAAGGACAAGGGTCTGGCTATTCTGGGAACACCAGTAACTAACCACTAAGTTAGAAGACTTGGTGCCACTAATTCATGGGGGGATTAACAGAGACAAAACCCCCTGACGCCGAGACGAGCCACCTGCTTAAACTCCCTGCTCGAGCTGTTAATGAAACAGCCAAGTGATACACAAGGATGTAGAAGGATTAACGTATCATGTTAATAATCCACCAATTAAAGAGCCCCTGAGTACTCCCCGGCACAGACCCAAGTCACTGATGGTTACTGTGTCCCTCAGACCCTGAACTGTGGAGTAAGTCCCCAACTAAACCAAGGCACACCAGGTCTGAATCTAATGTGGCCATGGGGCCTACGCCAGCATTCTCCAGATGCACAGAACAGACGGCAGCACCCCCCTCTGATCTAGTGCTGTGAGGCTCCAGTGAGGAACAGCCATGAAAGTGAAGGGCTGATACTACTCTCTACAGCCAGCCAGTGTGGAGACAAGTATGTAGTCACTATTAATGCATCCCAATCGTGACCCACAGCACCCCTTGTTACCCCAGCTCTAAATCTCAACAAACCCTTGTCAGCATACCTCTGTCCTGCCCTATGGCACCTTCCACAAATTTCAGATGTGGGTCTTTATTGACTAGTTTAATGACACCATCTTAGCATCTCCACATACACCTGTACCTCAATATAATGCTGTCCTCGGGAGCCAAAAAATCTTACCGCGTTATAGGTGAAACCGCATTATATCGAACTTGCTTTGATCCACTGGAGTGTGCAGCCCCCCCCCGGAGCACGGCTTTACCGCGTTATATCCGAATTCGTGTTATAGCGGGGTAGAGGTGTACTCTACACCAGACAGACAGAACACAGAAGTTGTACAGTATGCAAAGATGCTAGGATTGGCGCATTGCGGGTGATACCGTTGAAAGGAAAGCCCATGTGACAGCATATTGGCGTGGTCAAGAGTTGGGACCCTAGTGGGTTAATGCTCAGAGTTTTGTATATTACCTTGATTTGAGATTTCCTCGCTTTTTGGTGTTCGAGGGAATAACTTGAACAGCCTTAACTCTGTGTTAATGATGTTTTCAATGTGGAAATTTCCTAGGTTGGGGGATGTGTTGTTTTTTAATTCGTGGATATAAATGGGGGTGGGCTGGTGACCTGGAGGTGGAGACTAGCAGAGGGGTGGAAGATGGGCTAGTTGGAGACTGTAGAGCAATCAGGTCTCCTAAACTCTGGCAGAGAGCTTTACCCAACCCTTCAGCCTGCTCAGAGCGAATTGCACCAGCATGACCAGCTTTGCACGCTGAGGGCAGAGAGTTTGAGTGACAGTTATAATATTACACTCCTCACAAAGAACGCTTTAGACAACAGACAGAATTGTTTCACTGACTCCCAAACTTCCCTAGCTCGGCTCGCTGGCCAGCTCCACTCCAGAGACCAGTGTCCATCCCCTGCTTCAGATTTAAAAAATTTATTAAGATGATGTTTAAAAAAAAAATAGTGAACAGAGTTTGAGATAAGAGTTTCTGGTAAGCAGGAACCTTCTCCCTCCCCCTCCATTATTTTCCACTATCTGTCCAACTTTCTTCAGGTAAACTATATGCAGGAAATCTAAAATTTGGGCATAGCTGTTATATCTGCAAAACATGCGCATAAATATCGACTTACATGAGAGCTCTGCTAAAGGGGAAACGGAAAACAGGGGAACTGGAGAAGCTTCAGTAGAAAACACCATCGTCGCCTGAGGTTCACACTTAGCTGTCTGCAGAACGGTTTGGCTTTCACACAAACAGAATGACCGTCCCACAAACCCCAGGTGAATCTCAGGGCTGCCCCTGACATGGATTCATGTGCAGCAGTTCCTGCTGGCTGTTTACAACATCCTATGCTGCTGACACAGAGAGCGTTTGCACAGCAACACCACAAGTGAGTCAGCGTTCATCCGCTAACACCGTTTTTCATGGACTTTAAGTGGCTAAAAGCCATGGAGAACCAGGGAAAAGAAGGCGTAAACAGAGGCTGCATAGGGGACAATCTGCAGCAGCATCTGGACAAAGTTTCTTTAACATACTGATCACATGCTAGATTTCAATGGAATAAAATTCTCAGTTGACAATACGGAGCCTGTAATATCACCCTGCACTGTGACAGTTGCCATCCTAAGGAGGAGATGTTAATCCAAGAACCAAGTCTGGTATGTGTTAGAGATCCCATAGCACTTTCTGGAAACTGTATGGGGAAGAAGAGTCTTGTACTAAGACACAGGGAAGGGAATCAGGATTCTGTTCCCAGTTCTCCCACTGGCTTGCCATCCAACCTTAGCCAAGCAATTCAGGCCAACATTTTCTAAAGCAGGTTCTAACATCCAAAGCTGCGCGCAGAGGGGCTGCTTGCTGGCCTACTGCACGTCCATGATCCAGTTCACCACCTCAGAAGAGGTGAAGCAGCAAGTGGGCTGCCAAGTAGCCAAATCAAGCCCACAAATGTTACCTCCTCTCAGCACCTGGGAAAGCGAAAAGGGCTGTTTGATGCAATTGGTTTTTTGTTGTTGTTGGTTGGGGTTTGGGGGGGGGGGGGAAGAGAGAGAAGAAGAGAGATGTTGGCTGAATTCTAGCACATTCCTATTGAGTACTACAGCTACCCATAGATATTATGCACACATTCCCCTACAAGACCCAAGAACAGCAACTCCATTCTCCACCCCACCCCTCTGTCAAGCAGCTTTATCACCTCCACAGAACAGCCTCAGAGCATATGTCTACACTGCAGCTGGAAGTGTGCCTCCCAGCCCGGGTACATAGATAGTGTGGATGCTGCACCATAGGCTAGCCACCCGAGTACAAGCTTGTCCAACTCCCTGGGTCTGCACTGGAGTGGCTAGCCCATACCGTCACCTGGGCCTCGGCTATTGTCAGCAGCGTGTGTCTGTCTACCCAGGCTGGAAGGCCATGCTCCCAGCTGCAGTGCACATACCCTAAAAGAGTCCAGTTACCAGACTCTTGTACAGAGAACCCGGTCGGGGCACCAAAACAGCAAAGAACCGAATTGATTGGGGTCTGTCTCCTGTCCTGTTATTTTCTAATGATTCTCATGCACAAACCCCTTCCCCCAAACATACACAATGCTGTTTTAGGCACCATAAAAGCCACCAAGCTTCTGGTCAATATAATCTGGTTACCTTTCAAGTAGAAACGACCATCTCCATTTCATCCTCTCCAAAACAAAACAACCCCCCAAGTGACAGCTCCTACCAGGAGACACCCCACCCCGAGCCATCTGAAAAGGATCTCAGCCGAATTCAGAAACAGGAAGCGAAGCATGAGCTCATTCCCATGAGTCCCTGGAGGGGGGAGCCATATACCTCTCCCAAGTTCCCCCACTGCTTTAGAGAACAGGGTGTCCATAAGTAGGCCTCCTACAGCCATTTCTTTTTAAACTAGTAAATGGAATGATCACATCCAGCCCCATGGTAAATCCACCCATAGGGCAAGACCTCCAAGTCTCAGGACCCAATTAGCAAAGTTACAGATTCTTCTTCAGTTGACATCTTAGGCCCCTTTCCCTGCTTCTTCCAAATTACGTTGTGGAATAAGAGCCAGAGCGGAGGAGCTGGAATTAACGTAGTGTAACCATTGCCCACTTGATCCCGGGTTACTGCTGCACACTCTGTTTTAATTAGACCCTGGCTGCTGCTGGATGCACAGGCAGAAACTGAGTCCATGAGCAGGTTTTTCCATCTGTGCCTGGCATGACAAGCGTGACACATTTTTTTGAATGCAGACTTTGCTGCCGTGACCCGGTGTAACCTAGCGCAACGTGCTCTGTGTGGGGCCACGTTCTGAGAGTACCTGGAAACCGAGGCAGGTGGCCACTTTGTAAAGCGGAGTGTACCTGGTGCCACCGTGGTGTAAGGACTGCTGCACTGAACAGTGTGAGACCTAGTTACCTGAGAGGCTGCCCTGCCACTGGGCCACTGCCGCAGCCCGGGTCAGCAGAGGCACTCCAGCTGGTGGAGAGCCCAACCCCATCAGGGCACTGGACTGGAAATCATTTCCTCCCTTGGGCCGGAGCTTGGCTCCCCGGGGGAGGGCTGCGGGGTGCGCAGGGACAGGGGCAAATTGGAAGGATGGTGTTTAGCCAGGTGTGGCGCTAGGAAACTCACCCATGGCAGGGGAGCAAAGGGGGCTTCCTGGGGCTGCCACCACCCTCCTCCTCCTCCTGTCCAGCACCACATGGCACCTTCCCCCGGTCCCTCCCCAGTACTCTCCCCACACCCCCCAGTGCCCCCCCCACACACAGTCGCCCCTCTCCCCCACGGCCGCCCCCTGCCCAGTGCCCTCCTCCCCACACACAGTCCCGGGCTACACGCAGCTCCTCCCTCCACACACCCGGGCCCCCACAGTGCCCTCCACCAGCCCCCCACCTCCAGCCCCTGACTCCCGCCAGTGCCCTCCCTCAGCCCCCACAGTGGCCTCCCCACACCCCAGCCCCCCAAACCACACACCCCAGTTCCCCCCAGCCCCCTCCCCCCACGTCCCCCAGTGCCCCCCCACGCACCCAGCCCCCCCCCACATTGCCCTCCCCAAACCCCAGCCCCCACGTCCCCCAGCCCCCCCACATTGCCCTCCCCAAACCCCAGCACCCCCAAACCACACACCCCAGTTCCCCCCAGCCCCCTCCCTCCACGTCCCCCAGTGCCCCCCCACGCACCCAGCCCCCCCCAAACCCCAGCCCCCCAAACCACACCCCGCAGCGCCCCCCTCCGCCCGGAGCCCTCACCTGGTACTGGACGACGGCGGGCCCCATGGGCCGGTATCCGGCGGCCCCCGCTGCGGCCGGGCTGGCGCCCCGCATGAGGCCGGGCCCCGGGGCGGAAGGGGGCGGCGCAGCCCCGGGGGCGGGGGTCAGGGGGCTGAGCGGGAACGCGCCGCGGACGGACATCGGCTCCCGCGGCCCCGCGGCCCGGCTGTTTACTAGGAAGCGGCGGCGGCTCCCAGGGCGAGTCCCCGCGCGGCACCCAGCAGTGCCCGCCCCCTCCCAGAGCCCCGCCCCCGGGCCCCGGGCCCCGCCCCCAGCCCTAGCCCCGCCTCCCGGGCGCTGAGCCCCGCCCCCACACCGAACCCTGCCTCCTCCCGGGCCCTGAGCCCCTCCCCCAGCCCTAGCCCCGCCTCCCGGGCGCTGAGCCCCGCCCCCACACCGAACCCTGCCTCCTCCCGGGCCCTGAGCCCCTCCCCCAGCCCTAGCCCCGCCTCCCGGGCGCTGAGCCCCGCCCCCACACCGAACCCTGCCTCCTCCCGGGCCCTGGGCCCCGCCCCCAGCCCGAGCCCCGCCTCCCGGGCCCTGAGCCCCGCCCCCACACCGAACCCTGCCTCCTCCCGGGCCCTGGGCCCCGCCCCCAGCCCGAGCCCCGCCTCCCGGGCCCTGAGCCCCGCCCCCAGCCCGAGCCCCGCCTCCCTGCCGCTGAGCCCCGCCCCCACACCGAACCCTGCCTCCTCCTGAGCCCTGAGCCCCGCCTCCTTCCCTGGGCCCCGCCCACAGCCCGAGCTCCGCCTCCTGTTCTCTCTGGGTACCGCCTCTGAGCTTCAAGCCCCGCCCCCGGCCCTTGAGCCCTAGGAGAGGGAGTCGCCTGCTGCCCGCGGGTGTGCGCTGGGCGCTGTAGCAGCCGCTGGGAGGGCAGGGGCCGCCCTGGGCTCGGTGCAGGACCTGGCCGGGAGCAGGCGGGCGGGGCTCAGACTGTGGCACCGAGGGCCAGTCTTCGCTAGGATGATTGGCTGCTTTACCTGTAATTAAAGCAACGTGTGTGTGTGTGTCTGTACCTACGCACACCCCGACACCCATGTGTGTACGCCTGTACCCCACCCACCTCAATATGCACTCGTCTATGTCTGTACCCCCACACCCTCCATCACCCACGTCTGTGCGCCTGTACCTATGTACATCCGACAGGCGTGCATGTGCGCCTGTACCTACGCGCACACCCTGACATCTGCAGGTCTATGCCTGTACCTACACACACCCAAAAAGCACACGTGTGCACCTGTACTTACACACACTCTGATATCTGTGCATGTACACTCATACCTACGCACACCTCAACATGTAGGCATGTGTGCCTGTACCTACACACCCTGACATGCACGCATGTACGCCTATAACCCCATACCCGCCAACACCCATACATGTATGCCTGTACCTACACATACCCCAAAAACCCCATGTGTGCACCTATACCTACGCACACCCAACACCTGTGCATCTGCACCTGCACCCATATACACACCATGACATGCACATATGTACATCTGTACCTCCATACAAAGTAAGGCTTCTGATACTGTCTCACATGACTTTCTCATCAACAAATTAGGGAAATACAACCTTGATGGAGCTACTATCAGGTGGGTGCATAACTGGTGGGGAAATCGTTCCAGGAGCGTAGTTATCAATGGTTCATAGTCATACTGGAAGGGCATAACGAGTGGGGTCCCACAGGGATTGCTTCTGGGTCCGGTTCTGTTCAATATCTTCATCAATGATTTTAGATAATGGCATAGAGAGTACACTTATAAAGTTTCCAGATGATACCAAGCTGGGAGGGGTTGCAAGTGCTTTGGAGGACAGGATTATAATTCAAAATGATCTGGACAAACTGGAGAAATAGTCTGAAGTAAATAGGATGAAATTCACTAAGGACAAATGCAAAGTACTCCACTTAGGAAGGAACAATCAGTTGCACACACACAAAATGGGAAATGACTGCCTAGGAAGGAGTACTGCGGAAAGGGATCTGGGGGATCATAGTGGACCACAAGCTAAATATGAGTCAATAGTGTAACGCTGTTTCAAAAAAAGTGAACATCATTCTGGGATGTACCAGCAGGAGAGTTGTAAGACACAAGAAGTAATTCTTCCGCTCTACTCTGCACTGATTAGGCCTCAACTGGAGTATTGTGTCCAGTTCTGGGCGCCACATTTCAGGAAAGATGTGGACAAATTAGAGAAAGTCCAAAGAAGAGCAACAAAAATGATTAAAGGTCTAGAAAACATGAGCTATGAGGGAAGACTGGAAAAACTGGGTTTGTTTAGTCTGGAAAATGGGACATGATAACAGTTTTCAAGTACATAAAAGGTAATTACAAGGAGGAGGGAGAAAAATTGTTCTTAACCTCTGAGGCTAGGACAAGAAGCAATGGGCTTAAATTGCAGCAAGGGAGGTTTAGGTTGGACATTAGAAAAAACTTCCTAACTGTCAGGGTGGTTAAGCACTGGAATAAATTGCCTAGGGAGGTGGTGGAATCTCCATCATTGGGGATTTTTAAGAGCAGGTTAGACAAACACCTGTCAGGGATGGTCTAGTTAATACTTAGTCCTGCCATGAGTGCAGGGGACTGGACTAGATGACCTCTCGAGGTCCCTTCCAGTTCTGTGATTCTATGATTCTATATACGCATGTACCTATGCCCATCCTGAAACCCATGTGTGTATGCTTGTACCTACAAGCGTCCCAACACCCAGGTGCGTCCCACTGCACCCCTACACACCCCAACATCCACGCATGTGTGCCTGTACCAACACACATACATGTATACCTGTACCCCACACACATCCTGACACGCATCTATGCCTGTACCCCCCAACACGTGGACACCCACCCATGTACACCTGTACACTCGCACCAACACACATGCATGTACGCCTGTACCCCCCCCCACCCCAACACATACCCATACCCACGTGTACCCCCTCACACCCCAACACCCCCCCACACACATCCAACACCCATGCGTGCACACCTGTACTCCCCCACATACCCTGACACCCATGTGCACACACTCATACCCATGTGCATACACCCATTCCCATGCACACACTCCAATGCATATGCGCACACACTCCTACCCATCCATACACACCCTGACACCCACACACGTAGCCATGTGCACTCCCCAACACCGACACATGCACACCCCATCCAGACACGCACCCCGCCACCCCCGACATCCCCACATGTGCAACTGTACCCACGCACACACCCCATGCACACCTGCACCCATACACACCCCAACACCCGCACACATGCACATATGTTCTGACACACACATGTACCCCCACCACACCCGGTACACATTCCCCCATATGAACACACACCCAACCTCCCCTACACCCTCCACATATGTACCAACACACACACGTGCCTCCCCCCATGCACATCTGCATGCGTGCGCACATATACACAGTATAACAGTCCTTATAGCAGTGCCGTTTATTCTGGTTCAGGAAGCTAAATAAGCTATGTTAATATAAGTTGCTTTTCTATGGGCACAACTACATCCGACTAAAGCTTGGATCCGTATAACTATACCGGTTAAAAAAGTCCCACTCCTCCCTGCCTTAGTTACACCAGAGTAACTGTTCTGGTGCAGACCAGGCCTCAGGGATTCCTGGTGCTATTCCATTAACTTCAGAGACTTACACCGGGGATGAACATAGGGGTCTTGCATCCATTTTACCCAGGTTGTTTCTCTTCTGGAGTTAGGTGGATCCGTGAAGCTGTAACCTCAGGGATGTGTAACTATCATGGAGTGATAGATGCTGGTCTCTACAATATAGCAACCCAGCTGTCCTCTACCCTGTTCTGCCACCATGTGGCCATTCTACTTCCTTTCATTCATTTTAAGCTCGCTGTCCCCCCACCCCGCCACCGTTATTAGACTCTGATTCCCTCAGTCCGATCAGACGGTTTGTTGCTCTTTGGGTGCTGGGCTTGTTTGACTAAATCCAGGGAGCCGGACAAACTTTGGAGTGAAGCTTGGAGCAGGTCACACAGATCTTCACACTCGTGACAGAGGAAAGCAGGAATCGGCGTATCGGATCAAACCAACCGTCCCACTAGTTCAGTTTCCGGCCAGTGCCACATACTTCAGAGCAAGGTGTCATGGTTCAGGAAAACCAGGCCTGTATTTCCCCTCAGTGGTCCAGCAAGGGACCACCCGCCCCCTCTCACAGGCTTCTGGCTTCTCTCGGGTGAAGTCACGTTTCTCTCTCCCTTCTGACCAGGGTATTTCCAGGCTGAACAAGTCCCTGCCTTCACTGTGTTATTCCCAGCAAAAGACAGACTGGCCTGTGTCCTCTCTATCCCAAAGGCAGCCAATCAACTCCCAGGAAATGGAAGCAACCCCCCCTTGTTCAAGTACAGCAGCTCCGCATTTAACCCTTCCATTTCATTCTGACTGCTGAGCTGCAAACACAGGGAATGTTCTGCACGTGGGTGGTGGCGCAGCCGCCGGTTGTGGGTTGGGTGGGGGACGTTTTTGCTTATTATTATGCCCCATGCAGGTTCCGGGGTGGCCAAGGAGGCGGTATCTGCTATTCAGCTTTCTGGGTTCACCAGTAATCTCCCTGAACCCAGGAAGCTGAGTGACACATACCACCTCCTCAGCCACCCCGGAACCTGCATGGCTCATATTAAAAGCGCAGGTTCTTCTTCTGGAAGAGAGACAAAACAAGAGCTTTTCCCGCAGGGCGGCTTGGGGTCTGGGGAGGTGCAGCTGGGGGAGGGGAGGGGCTCCAGCTGGCCTGGGGCTCCTCTTGCCATGGGAGGGGTGGGGGCTCAGGGCTCCAGCTGGCCCAGGGCTCCTCTGGCGGAGGGTGGGGGGCTCATGACTCTGGTCGCAGGGGGGGCAAGGAGTCTCAGGGCTCTGGCTGCGGGAGTGGTAGGGGGCTCGGGGCTCTGGTTGTGGTGGCGGGGGAGGAAGGGGCGGAGCCGGAGACTAGCCTCCCCGAAAGGGGGCCCCACCCGCCACCAAGAGTTCTGCATTTGCAATGGCCACCGACCAAGTGCCCTG